CATCATTACTTTAGTGCCTGGAACATCAGAAAGACCAAACTCGATTGAGTCTGCAATTTTAACTGCTGGATTATTGTTATTTTTAAAATAATCTTTTAATTTCTCACGATATGTAGACCACTTCCTCTGTAAATCTCTCTCATCAGTAATGAAAGTATTGACTAACTTGATGACAAGTTCAAAATTGAACCACGAGATGTATTTCTCCAATACTCTAAACAGTTGATTCATTGTTCTTACTTTATCAAAGTCACTTCTCATTGATTCAATAGTGTCATGCCTTCGAAAACGTGGACTAAGTAACATAGCAATATATGACTGGATGTGATCAACAACTCCTGAAAGATCAATAGAATGAAAAGCCGTTTTTGTAAGATGCATATTGTGAATAAAATCATCTTCAAGATCTTCTATCAACCAGGTTAGGCTATTAGTTGCAGCAGGTGAAGTAGGGACTGGTAGCTCAACAGTTGGAGTAGCTTCTAAAATAATAAATAAAAATGATCATTGATTATCATATTATATTTACTTTTAGAAGATGAAATATAAACAGGTGATGTAGTAGCCTTTTTGCTAATAGTAAGATTAATGGCATATTCTGCTGCTATTTCAATAGCTAGAGCTGGATCAGCTCCTCCACTATTACTTTTAATGGAGTTACACAGCATTCTTAATGTAGGGACACCATGACTCTCATAGTCATAGTCCTTCTTTAACCAGCAATCAAATACTTTCCGTAGACATGCTCTAGCTTTCTTTGTCTCGGCATCTATCTCATCTATCTTATTAGGGTTCAGTCCTAACAGAATACCAATAGAGTCCCAGCGTCCTGAAAGAACACCAGCTTTTCCCCATACCAATTGAAAATCACTAATATCTATCATTAATAATACTAATAAAACAATTGTTATGAATATCTACTCACTAAGTTCTCTCTCAAAGGCTCTTTTCAGCTCCTCTGGTTTGGTTGACATATTTGCTGAGGTAGAGCAGCTACGCCCTTGGCAAGTTTGCAATTATTTACAAACGCACTGAGCCCCACCCTAGTTAATAAACTAGTTTTAATAACTGACCCCACCCCTCAGTACAACATGAATGAGCAAGGCTTGAGGAGAGGAGGAGGAATGGTCAGTTTGAAGGAGAGAGAAGAGCAGTATCTTTTCTCTTTTCTTTTAATATCTCCTTGTAATGGCTGCCAATAGCTCCTTAAATCATTCATTCTCTCTATTTAGAGATTTTCTTTCTGATAGCCCGTTTTCTAGAGGAGAGCTCTTGTAGGAGAGCGGCTAAGGTAGGACAAAGACGGGCGAGTCTTTCTGTTTGATTTTGAAGAGAAGAGACACGCCATTACACGTGGTTACTCATACTTTTTCTTTTTCTATCTTGTTACAGGTACTAATAGAAGAGTTGGAAGAAAAGGAGGTGAGAGGAAAGAGAGAGAAGACTCCTTCTCTTTCCTGAGCTCTGGAAAGGATGGAGAGATAGAGAAGGCTTTGGCCGTCTTTCTCTCTAGAGCGCCATTTTGTCCCTCAACCATGTACTCTCTCACTCTCTCTCTCTCCCTCTCTCTCTAGTCTAAGAGAAATGTCCACATATCCTCAGATTATTTATTATTATTGTGTAATGAGTTGTGCTCTCAGTTGGAGTCATCAGGTTCCATTAGAAGAGGAGGAGGAGGAGGTCATTCACTAATTGGGAATGAGATATCATCATTTATTTATGATAATAACAATAATAGTAAGATTATTAATATAGTTTAGTCCAGTATGAAATACCCTCCATTTTGTGATTCTCTCTCTCAGTTAGTTCTAGTTTGTTAAAGTTAACTAATCAAAAACATGATTTCACAACTGATCACTTACAAAAAGACAGCACACTACACCTCTGTAAGTTTATTTATTATTATTATTATTATTATTATTATCATTAGGTACTTTATTACATTCTACTCATCTTTCTTCCATTCCTTCTATGGCTTCTCTTCTAATTCAACCAATCAACTTCACTAAAATGAAAAAGGTACATGTACATGTATTAACGAATCCTCCCGTTACCATGGTAACCCTACCCACACAGCACACAGTGATACTAGGTCATCTTGCTCCAGTGTTTTGTCTCATTTGATTGTCTCTCATTTTGTAATTATTAAAGGATGTGGCCATAATTATGATGGCAAAAATAGGTGTGGTGGGGCGTGGTTACTCACTACTCGATACCAGGATTTGGTATCGAGTACTTGGTATCAGAGGCCTGGTATCAGATATATGAGTACTTTGGTATCGTATCTAACCTACAACACTTTGTTTTATAATTTACAATCCCCTTGAATGGGTCAGCATAACCGGGCCTGTTTGACCCTATTAATATAAACAATTAAACAATTGAAACACTAAAAGCAAGGGGCTGGAGATAGAGGACAATCATGTAGTAGTAACAGTTAATTAAAGTTAATTAAAAGTAGTGTCAACTGTTAACCACAAAAAGATAGAGAGGTGAATCTGATAGTTTTTTGTTTCACAAAATTTTTGAATGGGTTAACGTAACCCTGTCTTAAACTTTAAATATAAACAATAGTCAGGAGCAGCACTATCATTAGTAATAGCACATGTACTTACATCTACCGTCTTGTTGTTCCTGTAGCTATTGTAATAAAGAGAGAAGAGAAACATGGAGGTGACGTTAGTTTCATGGACTATAAAGAATTGGAAGAAGCTTACGCCAGAGAAGAAGTGTATCCTCTTGATCTTAAAAATGCAGTCGCTGAAGAGTTAAATAAAGTATTTAATTATTATTAATTAGTGATGATTAAATTTCTGAGCTCTTAAATAAAGTTTAACTCTATTCACATTTACATGTCATAGCAACATTATTAATTAATAATGTACCAGACTCTGTAATACATGTACATGTACGTGTTAATTGCATGTCCGTTTGTAGTTACTGGACCCCATTAGAGCTAAATTTAACAGTGACCCCTCGCTGAAGAAACTAAGGGACATGGCTTACCCTGGAGGAGAGAGTAAGTGACCATATCACATGATAATGTTGTTGTTTATTGTTGTTGTTGTTTATTATTGTTGTTTGTTGTTTGCAGAGTCTGAGGGTAAGAAAGAGGGCGGGGCTGCTGCCGCTAATCGTGCTGTTGATATAACAAGACTTGATCTGAGGGTTGGAGAGATAATATCAATTGAGAAGGTGTGGTCACCAGATAAGTGCATTTCTGATACATGTACTTGCACTTATGTTGCTACATTTGAGCTGATTCTGATCAAGTTTGGATTTTTATGATTTTTTAAAAGTTGATCCAAAATTGGACATAAATCCCTGTACTATTAGTAACGCGGTAGCATTACTACCCTTGTGAAAATTCTCAGCAAGATCTTACATGATTTCTTTTTAAGATCATGCATGAATCTTAGGTTTGATCTTGCAAGATCTTCTTGGTATTTGGAACAAAGATAATGCGTGATCTTGTATGATCATGATGCTAAGAATTATCTATGATCCAACATGATCTTGCATAATATGAGAAAGGTATAAGCAAGAATTTTATATAAGATCACAGCAAGATCTTACTGGGTTTTGGAACAAAGATCATGAAGGATGTGATGAGATCCAGCTTGCTAGCAAGATCTTAAATTATCAGTTATTTTCTTGCAATGGAATTTTAGCATGTAATGCTTTTATAAAATGAATGCAACAGTAAGATCTGAGCAAGATCTTACATTGCATGAATGCATAATATAATGTAATGAAACTTGATTAATTTTCTTTGTTTTAAGTTGGTTAAAACTTACTTTCTTTATATACTGGATTTACCGTTGAGGCTATTGTGGGTTGTCTACTACTTCCTGTGACGTCACATAATTTGTAAGATCTTTCAAGATCTTGTATGACCCAAACTAATCTTGTACAGTTAA